ACATAACTTTGTTTGCAGAGCATTCTGAATAGTAGAGAAATCCTAAAGAATTCGTAAAGAAATAATTATTTTCTTTACCTATTTTTTGCAGAAATTTCTAAGAAGAAATGCACTGTGCACGAAACGGTAAAGATTTGCAAATAATGCTGTGATGTGAAGATTTTTCTCAAAATCATTTCCGGTTTTTCTTTGAGAAATCGTATAGAAATTTCTTTACGAATTTATGTGAGCCTGGTACTTTGATTTGTAGAGAAATTACTATATACAATTACAAAAACAGCCCCATACTGTGCTAAACTTTTTTTAAAACGAATAAATATTAAATAAGCAAAAGAAAAATAGTCAAATTTGGTCAAAATGCCACTTAACTTAACCATTAGGAATGTTAATTCCGGGATCCTAGGATCCCGGCCTTTTTAAGGTCCCGAAAATCTCGGGATTATTTGCCAAGAGGGATTTGTAATTTGCACTGATGGCAATAATAGAAACTCCTTTCTAATTAATATTTTTTATAACTGTCTAGCTCATTAGCATACATACAGCACCGCACTATAGTTAATTTAAAACTCAAATATCAACATATTCCCGAAACCATGGGCCAAATATTGTAAAATAGCCTTTTTAGGTTTTCACCCTGGCGTAAATAATTCCAAAAGGATTTAAAAAATTCAGTGAAATGTGCTTAGAGAAGACGTATGGGTATCAAGTTAAAGAAAACTGTAGAATTTAAGAAGAAGAATTCTGTAGAATTTAAACAGAAGTATTGAAAATGTCCTTTTAAAATTTTATCCTTGAAATTTCGCAATATTTGTTATTGAAAAAATTACATGTTAAGGACTTATATAAACTCGATAGCATCGTCGAATTTCGTCCTTCTAACTTCATCAGCTTAAAAAATTACCTATTCGTCCTTGTGAATCCNAAGTATTGAAAATGTCCTTTTAAAATTTTATCCTTGAAATTTCGCAATATTTGTTATTGAAAAAATTACATGTTAAGGACTTATATAAACTCGATAGCATCGTCGAATTTCGTCCTTCTAACTTCATCAGCTTAAAAAATTACCTATTCGTCCTTGTGAATCCAAAAACTCTAAATTTTTTTGAATTAATTAAGAGAAAAAATAAAAACCCCACTTTCAATAAAAAAAGTAGGTTTCAAACCCATTTATTTATTATTTATTTTATGGTCGGAGAGCTGCCCAAACAATAAAGAAGCAGTTTTTGCGATTTAAGTTATTGAGAAGTAATGAATATCTAACTCCCGGGACTAATTCCGGGATCCCGGGATTGTTGTGATAACCGTGATACCGTAAATCCCCGGTTCGGAAAAAGCTGAAAAATTAACATCCCTAGGGTGTATGCATGTAAAATATTATAAAAAGTTCACTTACTGTATATTTGTATTGAGTTGACTAGATGGCTGAAATCCCTTCAATTGAATTTTATACTAACTCTTAATCGCTTGAAAGTATTGCAATTGAATCGCGCACGTATTCGAATCAATTATAAGAAAGCCTTTATCCGGTTAAGTAAAAATATTTGATTTGAAACGATTTTGTATTAACAATTAAGACGAAAATTGTCGTCAATTCAATAATCACACGAATAGATAGTATAGAGCGCGGTTCGCGAAATAATTTGTTTCAATTTCTACGATCGCGTCACGTCACTCTCGACCGGGCGATGATCTTTTAATAAGTGCCCAATCTAAACGCTTTATTAATTTTATATAGCACCAACGCGACACCGCGACATTGCTCATTGTCTTTGAGCACACATCCGATCTAAGATATTCCAATACATACATAGAAGAACACATGGATATGTATACAATAGGTGCACGTGTCCGGATGAGTACAGCTGATTACAGTAGCGCTCGCATACACCCACACATAGGCGTCTGTCTGCACGCTCATCCGTCGATCTATTCGTTGCGCCGTCGATGGCAACTTCGGGCTTTGAAGAGATCTCGAAAGGAATGCTTAACTTTTTGAGTGTCATTTAGGCGCTTCGATCTAAATATGTTGCTCAAATGTTTTTCGGTTTCATTTGGTTTTATTTTAATTTAATTATTAAACATGGAACAAAGTATGATTGAGTGAAGCTTGTGCTCTTGTTGTTCTTAAGCTTATGCATATCTGTACATATGTTCATTTGTAGTATGTAGGTGTATGTAGCTTTAAGTACCGTCGGGCAAATAGGAGACTCTTTACGCTCTTTGTTTGAATTAACTAGATGTGATGTTTTTCTCACCTAGGGTGCTGATGGGATCGGATGAATTGACACAGGGCCAAGAGAAATGTTAGTTGACAAGAATCGTCACCTGAAATGCAAAAGGGCGTAACAAACATCGTCGCTGAAATTCAAAAAGTCCTAACTAATAAAAAATTCAAAACTCAATTTTTGATTGATATGATGGCTTTCATCGAATTACAACTCCCACATCATTTAATGAAAAAAAAAA